AACAAGAAACTATTTACTGAATATAATTTTTAAGATGCTGAATTTTGTTCCTGGGTCACACGCATTTTACAGTAAAGCCACCATCACCACTACATGTTGTTGCTGGGTTACACGAGTGTTACAGTAAAGCCACCATCACCACTATGTGTTGTTGCTGGGTTACACAAGTGTTACAGTAAAGCCACCATCACCACTACATGTTGTTGCTGGGTTACATGAGTGTTACAGTAAAGCCACCATCACCACTACATGTTGTTGCTGGGTTACACGAGTGTTACAGTAAAGCCACCATCACCACTACATGTTGTTGCTGGGTTACACAAGTGTTACAGTAAAGCCACCATCACCACTACATGTTGTTGCTGGGTTACACGCGTGTTACAGTAAAGCCACCATCACCACTACATGTTGCTGGGTCACACGAGTGTTACAGTAAAGCCACCATCACCACTACATGTTGTTGCTGGGTTACACGCGTGTTACAGTAAAGCCACCATCACCACTACATGTTGCTGGGTCACACGAGTGTTACAGTAAAGCCACCATCACCACTACATGTTGTTGCTGGGTTACACGCGTGTTACAGTAAAGCCACCATCACCACTACATGTTGCTGGGTCACACGAGTGTTACAGTAAAGCCACCATCACCACTACATGTTGTTGCTGGGTTACACAAGTGTTACAGTAAAGCCACCATCACCACTACATGTTGTTGCTGGGTTACACGCGTGTTACAGTAAAGCCACCATCACCACTACATGTTGCTGGGTCACACGAGTGTTACAGTAAAGCCACCATCACCACTACATGTTGTTGCTGGGTTACACGAGTGTTACAGTAAAGCCACCATCACCACTACATGTTGCTGGGTCACACGAGTGTTACAGTAAAGCCACCATCACCACTACATGTTGTTGCTGGGTTACACAAGTGTTACAGTAAAGCCACCATCACCACTACATGTTGCTGGGTCACACGAGTGTTACAGTAAAGCTACAAATGTGGTGCTCAATTACCATTATTTGTGGGCATAAAACCTGAACAATTTTCTCATTGTATTACATGTAATGTCTAAAAATTAACAGCTGCTTTCATTTGTTACATCCAGACAACTATTAAGCCGGCATTAATAGTCAAAAGTACTTAAATATTTCTTGGGGGGGGGGGGGAACTGATTGAATGTTTTCCCTAATCAGTAAGTAATTGCCACACTAGTGGTTTTCAAGTTGTATATTTCTTAACGAAGCATAAGAACTGTGCGAAGGCCTATGAGCCCATCCTAAGCAGCTCCGTCTATATCCAAGCACACATTTGCTTGAAGCAATCCAGCAACCATCTGTTACGATACAGGGATAATTTGCTCCATATATCAAACATTAAATTACAAAACCCATGTTTACCTAGATCTTTTTTGTGTGCTTTGTATCAATTGTTAACTGTTCTATTGTGTTGATATATTTAACACCTTATTAACCCTGTTGGTACCCTAGTGTCCAAACTTCATTAGTGCATACCTTGTACCAAACAGCCCACACAATTATTAAAAGAAAAAAAATCAATTTTTTAACATAGTGGAATATCAATGTAAATCTATCTTGTGATTCTATGCATTGTATTAATTTTTTTCAGATAATCTGTACATATATATGCATATATAGTATATACATATGTATATACTATAAACTCTGCTGCACTGCTATTAAATATGACAAACCACCTGGTGTGCAGAGAAAAATTATTCCTGAGAATCTCTTGTTAAAATGCATTCTCTGTACGTGGAAAATTAAACGAAAACAAATTTAGTGCAACATACTTTGGCTGTGATGGCGAGCCGTGATACTTTGGCGAGGAAATCTGGCAGTATTCAGGCGCTGATAGTGCGTGCCAGCGGCGGTGTGTGCTCCAGCCCAGCAGTGTAGCAGGGGCTGCCACAAATACATTTGTACATGATTATTTCAATGTCTTTGAAAGATTATATATATATATATATATATATATATATATATATATATATATATATATATATATATAGTTTTTGCAGTAATCTTATTGAATAGTGTAGTAGTATTAGACATCTGTCCATCATCCATCCAAATTCAAGTATGTAAATTTGAGGAATTTACATACTGTAGTTAAATTTGTGGAACATAATTGTTAAGATATGGTGTGTGTATCTAGTGACACATGCATTTTATTTTTAGATCAGTGTTTTTGCTGTTATTACACTATATATACATGGTATATACATTTATATTTTTATAATCCATAATGAACCACTAAGTAATTGTGGCGTGTGGGTAATGAAACCTTAGCACAATACAGAGCTACACGCTGTGACCAGCTCACTCAAGCAGACCACTTCTCCTGACAGAAAAATACCCAGAAATATACTTCACACATTGCTATTATTACTATGAACACTGCTATTATCATCAGATTCCTGTCACTAAATCATGGATATGAATCATTTTCCACAAGAATATTTTATAGAGGAACATGAGGCGTCGTTATGCATGATGCGTAGATTCAGAAACCTAGGCTCTGTGCTGTGAACATCATAACTAGCATCGTGGTCACTGATATCTGAACCTTGTATATCATTTTTATTACAGTCGGGATCATCTATGTCAATATTATTGCAAAATTTTTGAGGGGCTACTTATTATATTCATGATTATTAAGTGGTGCTGTTGCCCCAACTTGTGCAGCTGGGCTGAGAGTTCCAGCTACATGTGCCAACCTTGCTTTCTCTGGCAGTACCGAGGCTCTCACAATTCAGGGATTTTTTTTTTTTTAAGATGCCATCTTTTTAAGATGTTTACTGGAGTCCCGAGGAACAGGATGCGAGCCCTATGTACCTGTTGAGTTTTGAATCTTATGATGTACAATCGTGATGTGCTGCTGTGCACACCCCATTATTCGCATGATATCAAAGTGTGCACAGTACAGTGGTTAAAGATTCCAGGGATAGAAATGTAGGGCAAATTTTCCCTTTTTCATTCTTCCATTTCCTTTGTCACCCCATATTCATCATCTTTCTAAAGAATGTAATTTTTTGTTTAAATTCTTCATAAGAGGTTTTTAATCAAATTATTTTAATTCTTTTCTGTGTCCATTCACTTGTTCAGTAACCAAAGCTCAATTGCCTAATATAAAACTGGAACTAACTAGTAGATAAAACTGAAAAATAGCATTAGATGTTGTATTGCTAATAATTCTAGAAATACATCCCAGTATGCTATTTGCTTTGTGTACAGTTTGGCAATGATATAGTTTGGCTTAACCCTTAAACTGCGCAACGCGCCTGCAGGCTCACGTCTGGTTTGCGCAACGCGCCTCCGGGTATTTGTATTTTTCACGTTCCATTCAAAACTCCCGCGGCTACATGGGGTTCACATCAGCTTCCTCAGGGCTCTTGTAAACAGACGCCATCTTTAAAAAAAATCGTGGTCCACATTCCCGGGTGTGGGAGCCTCAGTAGTGTGTGAGCAACCAAGGCTGGCGCTCGCAGCATGAGCGCAGAGCACTGCTGTTCAGCATGTGACCACAGCATCGCCTAATAATGTCAAAATATATATATAACTTGTATTATTTAGCTATGATAGTGTTATATTAGAGCCTGAGTGTGATAATGACTGGGTATAATGTTCAAATATCAGTGATTCAATGCTGTTCACGATGTTCACAGCGCTAGCCACAGCACCAGAGCATTATTTCGTTCATCTAGGAATCTTCAAATGATTTCTTAGGTTCTTTTTCAAAATAAACGTGTGGTCAATTATTCATTTACAGGAATTAGTGACCAGGATTGTGATAATAGCAGGAATGTGGTTATAATTAGCGTTGTGCGTAGTATTGTGGAAGGAGGAATTTTGATGAGGGAAGGAGGGCGAGAATTGAGGTAGCCTCTATTGTGTGTGTGGCTGCCACTCTTGTTTTGCTCACCATACTAGCTTAGTGGTTCGCTATGGGCAACACATATGTACATGGGTATATATAGTGTGTGTATATAGTGTAAGAACAGCAACAGGAGAATGTTGAGAGGAGCTATTTTGGTGAGGGAGGTGACGTAATCGTAGCGTCGTCTGCTGTGTGATTTTTCATGCAGTGTATGGTGGCCACTGTACTGTTTGGACACAATACCGGCTTACTTGCATAGTTCTGGTAAATAAAACATGTAGATAGGTATATAGAACATGTGTAATAAGAACTATAGCAATATGGTGGGAGGAGCAATGTTGGCGAGTAAGATGTTGGAGTGAGGGAGACTGGCTGGGTGTGGCTGCTCTCACTCAAGCTGTTCTGAATGTGTTCATGGCCCATACGAGGCAGCTGCTATTGGCCCATACGAGGCAGCTGCTATTGGCCCATACGAGGCAGCTGCTATTGGCCCATACGAGGCAGCTGCTATTGGTCCATACGAGGCAGCTGCTATTGGCCCATACGCGGCAGCTGCTATTGGCCCATACGCGGCAGCTGCTATTGGCCCATACGCGGCAGCTGCTATTGGCCCATACGCGGCAGCTGCTATTGGCCCATACGAGGCAGCTGCTATTGGCCCATACGAGGCAGCTGCTATTGGCCCATACGAGGCAGCTGCTATTGGCCCATACGAGGCAGCTGCTATTGGTCCATACGAGGCAGCTGCTATTGGCCCATACGAGGCTGCTGCTATTGGTCCATACGAGGCAGCTGCTATTGGCCCATACGAGGCAGCTGCTATTGGCCCATACGAAGCAGCTGCTACGCGGTGTTCTGAATGTGTTGATGGTGAATGTATATAGTGTGTGACAGTGTATAGTGTGTAAATAGATTGTATATATACACAAATTAGCATGATACATAGTAAATATGTGCTGCATATGTGTACACAGGTTTCATGCACGTAACACAGTGTCTACGGACAGTACGGATGTTGTACTGCGATATTATAGTGTACGTGTTCATTATACATTGGATTGGCACATAAAAACAATGAAAATGTATTTGGAAAGGTGCGCAAAAAATGAACGAAAATATATTCGCGGCAACTCGCGCGCCCCGCCCCGAGCGCCCCACCGCCCCCGAGAGCTTACGGCACGGGCGCACGGGGAATGATGACGTCACGCCCCAACTTCCGGACCCCATAGCAGCCAAAGTAAGTACAATTTCGACTTTTTTTTTGCATACCCATACTGAGGGAAGGGTTTTTGACACTTCAAAAAGAAAAAAGAATTTTTTCCAGAGAATTTATTTCCTGCGCACTGCGGGGGTGTCACATTTGGAGGCAACGCAGTTAAGGGGTTAAGAGGCCTCCTAATGGTGAAGATGGTTGTGGTGAGTTGAGATTAGGCTCTCACTATATTTTTAGTGAAACAGGCTCCATGCAAATTGACTGATAGTGTCTTATGGTCTACCTCTGCAGAATTTTCTCATCAAAAGCTTTAAAAAATAAATTATTGAAATTTACATGTACTAAATTTCCATTTTATATATATCATTCATTGATTTTGCTAATTTATTTTAATTGTGGTGCAATATTGTACAGTATATAATTGTACATTACTAAATAAAATTATCACTTGGGTTCAGTTCTGTTACCTTTTTAGGAATTTGACATATTTCCTGTCTCCAATATAAAGTGCATTTTACACTATATAGTGTAAAAAAAAACAAAAAAAACCCTAAGTTTTATGCTGTAGATAAAGATATGTGGATTACCTTCAGGTGCAAAACAAAAACCCATTACGTAAATCAGTCGTACAACGATCATAAATATACAAAAAGTATCATTCTACTTGGCTAGGATGCAGTGGTCTGGTGGATGTGATGACCATTTTGACTGTACATCTAGGAGCTAGTTGTGGCAGGGATGGTGGTGGTGGAGGGCTTATGTTAGTGTCCATCTTGTTGGTGTTGCCTTGGTATGGTGAGTGGACTCTTAGTGCACCACTCTGATGGGCGAGTGACTTGTTACTCACCACTCTTGCCTACTGCAGTGGTGCACAAGTGAAACACACCCAGTGGATGTGTTTCAGCCTCGTGCATTGTCGTTGCATGGAGACCTGTATATTCTTGGATACATTTCATCTGGACTTTGAGCCTGCCTACTGGCTTCTCCTTCTGAGAGTTGTCACACTATTTTTATGCCGGATACTTGTGTGAAACGGAGATTTAGAAATGTCCAACTGAATCATTTGGCTAGTCTGGCCGTTATACTTAACTGGACTTGGGTCAAGTTGGCATTAGATTTGTATATCCTTTGGAATATATACACCCTCCACTAGAGATTCTGGTGATGCTTTCCTATCAGTGACTACAGGGAAGTGAAATCTAGCTCTTTATGCCCTGCTTCCTAGGTAATCAACCAGGGGAATTTTATACTAGTTATGACAACAGCAAGGAGGACCATGAAGACAGTGGACTGTTTTATTTAACACCTACCACTAACTGACAGAAGATAAAGGGAAGAGTATGATAAATGCAATGAAACATGTCTAAAGATAATAGAAAAGGTGGCCACTATGGCAAGGAAAGCCAGGGTAAAGATCCTAGTTTCTTGGGGATTTTAACCCAAGAAAATAAATTAGTCAATGAATGATTCTAATGGGGGTTAGATAAAACGTGGAGAGCAAGATTTGTGGATACTTCATACACTTCCTGTTGTAGCATAATGAGGAGCCGATGGGAGAAAGTGAGGGATCTAAAAACTACCTGGACCTGATTTTTACCCAAAAAAAGCAATGTAGAGAACTTAAAATGTGATAAAACTAGAAGCCAGTGATCACTCCATTGTTGTTTGATTACATTGTACAGCTGTAAGAGAGTTGGAAAAAGAGCAAGAAGGAAGAGAAAATACATAAAGGAGTACAGGAGGGCTAGAGAATACCTGCAGGATGTTCAATGTGAGATTGAATTGAAAGGAAAGTTGGTAAATGAGATGATGGAACTCAACACAAATGCAGAGAAGAAACGAAATGATCCATACCTCTCACGAGGAATGTAGATGAAAGGAGACTGGCAAGCCCATGGTTCAACAGTGTAGAGAGCCAGGAGAGTTAATGGGTAACAAAGAATTTTGTTACGTACTATTATAGTATTCACCATTACACTAGACGAGAGAGCAACCAGAAATCTGGAAAAAATGCAAGTGTAGTTAAAATATTCAAGAAAGTTGGACGATATAAATTGCCATCCCAACTTTTGTGGAAATAAACATTCCATTCGCCTGCCAGTTTGGCAGCAAGATGCTGCTTCTGGAAACATTCCTTTTTTAGACTGCTCATAGCCCAGTAGATAGCTACTGCCTCACATGAGTGGGGTCCACAGTTAAAGATCCACACAGTCCTGGTGAATGGAATGGGACAGATATGCTGCACTAAATTAGATCAGTGTCATTAACATGCACTCCATTTGGAGTGAGTAAATTTTAATGCAGAGGCACAACATAGCTTCAGAAAGAAAATGATGCTTAACAAACTTGATTGAAATCTGCGATGTTCGCCAAAATAAGATGAGAACGAATGATGGGTAGACTTGATTTTCCTGGACTGCCAAAAAGCTTTACAGTTCCTCTCAAGACAAATACATTTGGAAATTGTAGTTGGGATAACAGGAAAGGTACTGAACTGGGTACATGAGTTCTTGACATACAGGAAACAAAGGGTCATTGTCAGAGAGGATATATTAAGCTGGAGAAGAGTGGGAAAAAGTGTTTCACTGGGCTGTCCTCTGTCCTAATACATTGCCGTTTTTAATTTGAGATGACCACGCAGACAGTGAGCTCTTGCATGTGATGCCAAGTTAATGAAGAGCGTTAAAACTGAATAGGGCAATTAGGTGCTGCCGAAAAACCTTAACAATCTTCCGGTTTGGGCTGCTGGAATTTAGTCTAAAGTGCAAAACAATATAGGTAAGGGAGACCTGTATTTAACTATTCAATAAAGGTAAAGACATTACATGAAACAATTGGAGAAAATGACCTGGAAGTAGACACAATCCCATCATTAATGCCAGTAGCTCATGTGAATGAGATAACATCGGTAATGTGGGAAAGTAGCAAACATAAGAATGTCATTTACGAATCTAAATACGGAGGCTTTATTCATACACACTGCCTATACAAGGCCATTACTTAAATATGCAGTTCCAGCATGGAATCCACCTCTTGTGAAGTATAAATAGAACCTTGAGAAAATTCAGAATATTTGCAATTAGCACAATTTGCAGTTTGTAAAAGAATTGAGCGGCCTCACCTATGAGGACGGGCTGAGAGAACTAAGCCTTGGATGATAGATGAAACTGAGGGGATGTGATTACTACATCATCATCAGCAGGGGAACAAAGTGGATAGAGGAAACTTATTTAAATTATAAAAAAAAAAAAGACGACGCGACAGACATCTGTGGAAGCAGCACATGGCATCGTGAGAGATGCAGAGGAAATTCTTGTTCCCTGTATGGGTTTTGGCAAGTGGAATACATTGAAGGAAAGGTTGTTAAAGCCAATTACATCCACAAATTTAAAACAAGATTAGATAAAAACTTTAATATTGAGAGGTAATGTTATGAGGTTTAGATTAGTGTACTGTATTAGGTATGGACGACTAGGAGGATATGCGTTAAAAGCCAATTTCAATCGCCCGTAGTCACTGATTGGTAAATGCTATTCTCTCCTTGATCCTCCTAAGGTAGCCTTAGTGCTTATACCTTCCCTGACTCGGGGGAAGGGGGGCACTGGGAAGTGAATTCAAATATACATATTGTATTGATGACCAGACCACACACTAGAAGGTGAAGGGATGACAACATTTCGGTCCGTCCTGGACCATTCTCAAGTCGATTATGTTGAAGTCGAAGATCCTCACCTTCTAGTGTGTGGTCTGGTCATCATACTTTAGCCACGTTGTGACTCATCGCTTGCATACATATTGTATTGTTTTGTATCTGTTTCTGCAGCTACACATGCTCATACTCTCCCATATGGCGGGTGACCGAATCTTGGAGTCAAACTGGCTTGGAAGATTAGTTTCCCATCTCATTAGTGGAACCTCCCTGCTAGCTCTGCACCTCTTGTGTTGGACCCTGCTTCATGCTTGGCTACTTCTTATGGTCCTCCTTGGCAGTGGTGTTAACTGCATTTGTAGAGATAGTCGGCTTGTCTGCGAGTTTTTCTACTTTATTGTAACATCACTGCCTTATGCTCCCCCTGATACTGTAAGATCTTTACATAGTATCTGCTCTAGTGTAAACACTGGTATCATTTGTACTCCATCATTCATGATCTGTTTGGCTCGCAAATGTGTACCAAATATTTTGAGCCTCCATATACTGAAAAAGAAGTGGTTGCCAATGATCACCACCTTCATTGAGGTCTGGTACTTTGGCTCGAATATTACTTTGTCTCTAGCAATTTAGCTCTAGTGTCATGACTCAAAGGAACAAGCTGGCCACCTTGTTGCTATTCTCAACATTGGCGAGATGCTGATTTGGGCTACGAAAAACGCATTTAAAAGCTTCCATTAGAACTTTTCTTTGTCTTATCAGTGGCAGAACTCTCAGAAATTGCTATTAAAACACTGAATATATTTTAGAGGCCCAGAGAATATAGATACTATGCATGAACACATTCACTCTCCCCAATCATGGTAAACATACTCAGCACCTCTGGATAGCAAAGATTTTTGATAGTCTCTTCTTCCCCATATCCGTTGTACTTGGTAACATCGAATGTTTTGTTCAGGCGTTGACTTCCTTTCCCAGCCAGTGCTGAAAATTTGGCCATGGCACTGTGACTTGTCATAGTGGTAATGTACTAGGAGTACCTTAGTGGCTCCTTGGCGCTATCCTCCCGAGGTTGCTCCATTCTAAGAGATCACATCAGTCAGGGAAGTTCTGTTTGGCATACTGGGGACGAGAGCTAGAATCTGGCCTCTTCACAGAGGCACAAGGAGTGTGAGACAGTCAGCCACCTCACTGGAAAAAGCCTCCAGAAAGTCAGTGCAGCTTTACTGGAGGGTTCACAGATACTAGAGCCTAAATGCTGCTATGAAAAGGCAACCCATCCTCGGACCAAGTCTATTCTATCCATGGTCGACCCCAAAGATGCATTCATCAATTTTAGCATTCTGTTCATTCAAAACGAAACTTTTATCAAATATAAATTAATATTATTATATATTAGCATATTGTGCATTTTTAGGCACCGGTTAGGTGTTCAAGTTCTGTTGGCGATTCTTTGTATTTGTAGTACATGGGTGAAGCATTTACTACGTTGTAATTCAAACAAAAGTCGTTGGCCAAGCACTTGTTCTGGAAGTGCTCGGACGTCTTTAGTTGAGAAGTGCGTAAATTTTTTTAATTCATAAACAGGGTGCATGGAATTGACTTTGGGTCTTTGTTTAGAGGACGTGCTGGCAAATGATGCACATAGAATAATGGATTCACTCAGAATGGCTCTTCACTCATTAGCACTGAATACCTCCACCAGGAAGCCTTGCCTCAGCCCTCAGTATACTCCCCATCTCAGTTTTGTTGATGATGCCACAGTGTAGTTTGTAGTCCTTTTGTTCTGCCACATTATGACAAGGTCTGCTACTTTAAGCTAAGTGGCAGCCATCCTTGGACTGTTGTCATCATTTGCATTATTATTATTTTTTTTATTTACGTGGCTTTACATGGACATTTTGGTTCAGGCTTGTGTGGGTTCTGTCCTCTGGTGTGCTCTGGAGGTTGCTTTCTGAGATGTCTGGCTACTGGGGTGGAGAGCTTGGCCTTTGACTATTCAAGGAACTTTGCTTCCTCTGTTTTAGCCTTTGGCTGGAGGGCATTCTTTGGTTGTGCTGGGGTATGTTTGGGTTCAGGTGCTTATTTATTTGGCACACTGTGGTCACCACTTGTAACCTGGTAGTATTGGCTGCAGTTAGTGTCTGTTCTTCCTGTAAGCAGCCCCCCAGTGCCTGGGGTGTCTACTCGATTAACATACTTCAAGCTATTGGAATCCACTGCAGGTCTGATGTGGTTCGTATGGATTGCTCCATCCAGCCTACCCCTTGCAGGGCACGAGTTTGAGGAATGTCCCTCTTTGCTACCTGATGATCATTCTTTCTTTCTCTGCCATTCTGTTTGTTGAGTCGATGACACCTATGACCTTGTGTCCTGTGAGGCGTGTTCTCACTGGGTCTGCTTGATGGACTCTGGGTCCTAGTTAGAGGTATTTCAGCAGCTGCTTGCTGCTTTGTGAGCTAGGCGAGGTCATGTTGGGCATTCGCAGCATATCGACTGGCTGGATGCCCTATGGTGCTTAGGGACCCAGAATTGGAAGTTAAAGCTACAGAAAGTTGAGATAATAAAATGCATCCCAAAAGGACAGAGTAGCTTAGGCTACACTTCCACCTGATCAAAGTCTGCACCACCACCACCACCTTCCTTGCCTTACGTGTGTGGTTCACCCTGCTTCTGGTCTTCCCTTCTTTTCCTAGTTTTGGCTCAGTGTCTGAGGGTTTAGGAATCATGTCAGGGTTTAACTTGGGGTGTAGTTTGACCTTTTCTGGGAGTGGTCCTATCCATGTCTACGGCAGAGGCAATTGAGCTTTCCGGTTCTGTTGGGATTTCGGGGCACTTGCCTTCGGATCTGTCTTGTTGCCCTGAACCATTATCTTGGAAGAGCATCTTTTTGTCGCAGATGTTGGGCAACGACTTCAACTCTTCTCCCAACACCTGCTCCCGAAGTCTTCATGGCAGGCTTCCAGGGTTGAGGGGCAGCCTGAAGAGTGCCCTTGGGTGTTTCTCAGCTCTTCATGGATCCTGGTTCCCTCTGCGAAAGGTCTTCCTTCTGTTGCAGGGGATCATATCGTTCCACTGCACAAGTTGAACCTCTTGACTACCCTCTGGTTCGATTCCAGATCCCATTTGGGGCCTTGGATTCATTATTTTTTTTGAGGTTTCCATCCTCCCATGCTGCACCTTCTGTGAGTCACACAGATTTGCTTCTGTACCTCCTGCATAATGTGGCTCTCTCATGTTGGACCTGGCCTGCTTTGAGCACAGGTTCCTTTGCCTGTTTGTTGCAGTCTGAGGTCTCAGGTTTGGCCTGGCCAGCTGACTCTTCTTAGGTGGTTGACAGGAGTTCTGTTGGACCAGTTCTCTTGAATGGTATGAGATGAGCTCAGTCATTCAGGTATTCCTGGGCAGTGCTTACTTTGCCCTTCTTCCAAGACGTTTGTTTCCTTGGTCACATTCCAATGGTGTGGGCTCCTTGTGCAGCTGCCTGCACTGTCCAGGACCATTATTGTGGAAGACCACTGAGCGTGGTCACACCTGGCAGTGGTCTTGTGTGTGTGTAAGGATGTGGCATCACTGGGGTCCATTCTGAGGATGGTGGCCATGTAGTCTGAGGTTCCAGCTTTGGCGACTTCCCAAGATGCACACCCCTCTCCTTCGGGGGGTGGTGGCGGCATTTTGTTCAAGCAGCCTCGCATGTGTCAACAGTTCGTTTTGGCCTACTCTTTAGATTCTGCTTGGTCTCTTACCCTTTGGCTGCCTCCCTTTTTTCTTCCCTTCTCTTTCCAGAGGAAGTGGCTCTTGCTTAAGTTGTTTCTGCAGTGGCTTATTCATGCCTCCCTATTGATTAGTTGTCCTTTCAGGGTTTTGTTCTCTTTCAGAGACAGTCTGGTTGGGTGGGGTCAGATTATTGGGCCATTGCGCTTCCTGAGAAGGCTTCATCCTTTGCTTGACGTACGATTCATGCATCGCAGAAGTCTAGTTTTGCTCGAGGTTCACACCAGCCCTTTTGCGGTTCACTCCTATGATGCTGCCATTGGGGGGCATCTGGCTTTTTGTGAGCTCTTAGTCTCACACAATGTGTTTTTTTTTTTGTTTGTTTTTTCAGGTTTTCCTGCAGCTATCAGAAGAGCTGATCAATTCCTCCTCTGTATTTGAGGTCAGTAGTCATCTCTGGCACTGTGTTGGGTCAATGCGAGTATGTTGGTTTTGTCTCTTCTGCGAGTTTCTTGGTTGTTCTTGGTCCCGAAATGGGCCTCAGAAGACCTACGGTACCTCTCCGATCTCTCGGGTCTGAAAAGCTTCATTACCTGTCTGACCTTCCACATTACCATTATAACCCAAGTTCAGATGGGTGAAAATGGTCCCAGTTCAGATGTTGCTCTGGGTGCTGTCCAGGTTGGATCACCCTCCTTACTCTGGGAGGGTGATCCTTCTAGCTTCTTGGTTTCTGGCATTGCTAACCCACTGTTTGAACCTGGGCATTATTCAATGGCTCTGTTTTTTTCAGCAAATCACTTCAAGACTTTCACGGCACTGTATTGCAAGTTTTCTTGTATTTCACCTTCGGCCAGCTCGTGCTCCTGAGCTGTCATAGTCTCTTGACTACGTTTTGGTTTTCTCTTCTCACGTCGGTTTATGGTTCCCTTTGGCTCGGGATATCATTCTTAATTAAGGCTGTCTTCTTGTTGGCCCTCACCTCTGGCTGTAGGGTTTGGTAGCTTCAGGCTAGGGGCAAGGGTTCTGTTGCTTTAGCCCTGGTGGGCAGTTTTGTTTACAGCCATCACCTTTAATGGGGAAGAATAAGTCAGCAGGCTTTGGGAGGAGTCCTTTGGTAGTTGGTTCTGCCTGAGGTGCATCATGTGTGTCCAGTAGTGGCTCTTCCCTTCTACCTGCCTGCCTGCTTCTGGTTGTCTCTTGGCGGACTCCTTGTTGGTTGACCCAATTTTCTTGGCTCCTTGTTCCAAGGCTTGTATTTCTCAGGTGTTCTGCAGTGTCATTAGGCCTAGCTTCACCTCCTGCCAGGTTCGTTGGTTCGGTTTGGGTTGTTCATCAGCTCCAGAACTGAGGTGGAAAATCAAGAGGGTTGAGGCTGGGCCCCCTTGTGATAGTAATTGGTACTAAGAAGTTTTGAGCTAGTTGAGCAGAACAAAGTTCCTTTGTCTTGTGTGAATTGTTAGCAGAGTTGTTTGGTGGTTTCAAGGCTTCATTTTCTGTGAAGCCTTGAAACCATTTTCAAGGCTTCACAGCCTTGAAAATGGTTCATTTTCAAGTCTTCATTTTCTCTCCATTTTCAGTACTCTTTCTTCCTTCCCGCTTCCCCTTGCTCCTCTTATTCTCAGTCACTGCTGATGTTTACCCCATGGCCCAGCTGTCAGCATCAAACATCTTTGAGATGGTTGCTGATATTTTGCAATACATCACATCAACCATCCCTCTTCAATGGCTTTAAGTCATCTGGCCAGTATTGAAATCCTGTCTCTCTCTCTCCTTAGAGGAAGGCCTTGGACCCTGTGTTACTTTCCTGCATGCTGCTACCCAGAGTCTAATACAGTCCTTGATAAGGAGTTTTAAAATGCTCCTATTTCATTTCTTAGTTTGCATTCCTCCTCGACTCTGAGCTTCCCTATTTTCCTTCACAAGTATTAGTGTTCAGCATATTTTTGCAATCTTCCTGTGCCTTTGTTTTTTCCTTGGTGGAATATGTTAGAGGTACACTAGTTCTGTGAATGATTCTCTCAACCTAACCCTGTTTCAGTGGTAACTTGCATCATGAGTGGGCTGGCCTTGTGTCTGTCTGGCAAATTCTGGGCAAGGTAATTTTTGCAATCAGCCGGTTGTTGACAGCTCTAATGAATTTATACATGGGAATGTTTTCAACCCAGTCTTCACCAAATACATGTTGTAATTGTTTATCTTGTAGCACTAGATGCCTTCATACACACCACATACATACCTCAACCATCAACTTATATTTGTGCATCAAATGCAACTTGTGCCAGAGTCCAGGATTGTTTTGGGTTTATTGTGTATGTTTCTTTGCCGCTTTAGTTTTGGTTGTCAGTATTGTTTCTTTTGTGTAATTATCCAAGTGTAGTTACAGGATGAGAGTGACGCTCGTGGTGTCCCGTCATCCCAATGTTCTGTCATATAACGCTTTCATACTACTGACGGTTTTGGCCTCCTCCACTTTCTCTTTTTCTTTCTTTTAACACTTTCTAATATGTTTTTGGCACCTTGCTTTTGTGTTAATGGGCTAACTCTTAGATTTCTGGACGAGCAAAGTGTCAATTTTTTATGCTTGCAGTCATTGAAGACTTTATTATCAAACCAAAATTCTTGCTCTTTTCTCTATGCCAAATGTTTATTACTTTCACACAAGTACATAGTAAGATTAGGGCTGATATAGTATTTGTCTATGAGCAATATGGGCTGTGGTTACATCGCTGACTTGGTGACTGCTCCACAGTCAATGTGGGTCATATTTGGCCATGTAAATATTGGTGTCTGTGTACATAATCATTTCAATGACTAATCCTGTTTCAGCCACATTGAATGATTGCTTTGTTCAAATCTGTGGATTTTCATTATCAGCCAAAGGTATCATAGACCCTCAAACCACTGGGGAGATAGTTGTAGAAAACCACATGTGTAACAAACCTGCAGAGTTAAATAAGGATAGGTTCCAGAGAATTGGTGTCTTTGGTTCACATTCAAATTTCCACTTAATAATGCATAGTTATTAAGCCAAAAAGTAACGCCACTTACGTTAATCGTCTCTGCTCGAAGTGATTTATTGTATAATTATTATAGGTATGATTAGTTGGTGTTCACAAGTGGTGACCCAGGAGGTAGGCTTACAATCAGACCTATAGGGAACACATACAGAGGGCTAGATAAGAGCAAGTTGACAACTGGCCTTATCAGATCTCGGTCATCTGGGGGTGTGGGAGGTTCTCTTGGGGTTTCAGGTGCCTGGTTGGCCAGAAGGCTTGCATGTTTTATTTTATGGCTTTGTTAGAATGTACCTTTTACATAAACATTGTTGTGAAACTCATTGTCCCTGTAAATGTTTAAATAAACAAATAATTATCATTTCATTAGAGAGAGAGTGTACTAACAATAACTCACCCTTCCCCCCACCCCATCTATCCCTACCCATGCCCTACCCCAGCTCATGCCTCTCCCCTACCCTAGCTAATGCCTCTCCCCTACCCTAGCTAATGCCTCTCCCCTCCCTCCGCCCCATCCCCCTCCCTCCTTCCCCTCCTCCCCATCCCCCTCCCTCCTTCCCCTCCTCCCCATCCCCCTCCCTCCTTCCCCATCCCCCTCCCTCCTTCCCCTCCGCCCCATCCCCCTCCCTCCTTCCCCTCCTCCCCATCCCCCTCCCTCCTTCCCCTCCTCCCCATCCCCCTCCCTCCTTCCCCTCCTCCCCCTACTCTAACCTTCCTCCCTCTTCCCTCCCTTCCCTCCCTCCGGCTTGCTCTCACCTCCCTCCCTCCCTCTTGCTCTCACCCTCCTCCCCTCCCTCCCTACCTCCTTTCCCTCTTGCTCTCACCACCCTCTTCCTTCCCTCCCCTCTTGCTCTCACCCTCCCCTTCCTCCCTCCCTCCCCCCCTCTTGCTCTCACCCCCCTCCCTCCCTCCCTTCTTGCTCTCACCCCCCTCCCTCCCTCCCTTCTTGCTCTCACCCCCCTCTCCCTCCCTCCCTTCTTGCTCTCACCCCCCCCTCCCTCCCTCCCTTCTTGCTCTCACCCACCCTCCCTCCCTCCCTCTCACCCCTCCTCCCTCCCTCCCTCTCACCCCTCCTCCCTCCCTCCCTCTCACCCCCCCTCCCTCTCACCCCCCCTCCCTCTCACCACCTCCCTCTCACCCCCCCTCCCTCCCTCCCTCTCACCCCCCCTCCCTCCCTCTTACCCCCCCCATCCCTCCCTCCCATCTTGCACTCACCCCCCCCTCCCTCCCTCCCCTCTAGCTCCCACCCCTCCCTCCCTCCCTCTCACCCTCCCTCCCCTCTTGCTCTCACCCCCCCCCCCACCCTCCCCTCTTGCTCTCACCCCCCCCCCCTCCCTCCCTCCCTCCCTCCCTCCCTCCCTCCCTTCTTGCTCTCACTCCCCCCCTCCCTCCCTCCCTCCCCTCTTGCTCTCACTCCCCTCCCGCCCTCCCCTCTAGCTCTCACCCCCCCCTCCCTCCCCTCTTGCTCCCACCCCCCCTCCCTCCCTCCCCTCTTGCTCCCACCCCCCCTCCCTCCCTCCCCTCTTGCTCCCACCCCCCCTCCCTCCCTCCCCTCTTGCTCTCACCCCCCTCCCTCTTTTTTTTTTGGGGGGGGGGAGTAAAGAGGAAGGCGAGGCATAGGTGAAGGAAAGTATAGAAGTGGGAAATACAGTGAGAGGTATGAAAGCAGGCGGGCTGTCCGCCTTGCTGACACCATGTGTGGGTGTTGGCAGCTAAGCTAAGCTGGCTCCCTCTTGTCAGGGAGCTGTGAGTGTGTGAGAGGTTCTTCACATGTGTTTCACCATATATGAATGTCCATAGATGAATACTGTGTAGCATTCATATATACACACTCCGATGCTTCCACACATGTTATTATGTTTAAGGCTCTTTATTTTATTATTATTATTTATCGAGTTGTCATACATATTTATCGAGTTGTTCATACATACACATATATGAACTGTTCATATATATACATATATAACTCGTCTGGGGATTATATACTGTGGGGCGGGGTTTTCGTCCAGAGAATCGAGGCTCTTGGGCCACCAGCTGTGGGAGCAGGGCGTCACATCTTGGAGTAATCTTTCAAACATTGGGTCCTCTAACATTTCGATGGTGTTCCATACCCTGATGGCTTGGTGCTGCAGTCTGATGTTTAGTGGCTGTATGTTCAGGAGTTCGTGGAGCTCCTGGATTGTCTGATCATATGGTGGACGGTGTTTTGCTGCTCTCCTTAGCGCCTTATTTTGTACTGCTTGCAGTTTCTGCATGTTAGTTTTCTTTATGGTGTGTAGTGGTACTGGGGGATATTCTAGATGCGGCCGAACTAGAGCCTTATATAGGTGGATCTGAATGTTAGTACTGAGGCTTCGGAATCTTCTCAGTTTTCCTAATGCTGCTTTGGCTTTGTTTAGTCGGTCCCTTACATGAATTTGTATCCCTGTTCTATTTATCATAAGTCCCAGTATTCTGCCTACCTCCGCATATTGGATCGGCTGGTTATCAAGGATGATGGGGTCCGGGTTTCTTTTCGCAATGTGTATTATTTTGAACTTTTGTTTGTTGGTGCTAATTTTCCATTGCTTCTCAAAGTTGTTTATGAGTTCAATTGCTGCCTTGGTCTTGTCGGCTAGTAGCGACTTTGATGGGCCCGGTTGGCATATTATTTGGGTAACATCATCAGCGTATGTGATGTATTCTCCATGTTGGGGTTGGGGTAGGTCAGCTGTATATATGTTGAATAGAGTGGGGGAGAGGCAGCTTCCTTGTGGTACTCCACTTTTCAGTTCTATTACGTCACCCAAGTAGCTGCCGATGTTAAGCCTAGCAGTTCTATTGTCTATAAAGCTGCAGAGAGTAGCAGTAAATCTCTCAGGAAGCCCTAGTTCAGATATCTTATATTTTAAGCCTGTGTGCCACACTTTGTCAAAGGCTTTCGAGACGTCCCTAAGCACTATATTACACTGATCTTTTTTCGACACTGCGTTGGCTATATGCTCGTAGATCAGGGCTATAGCTGTATGGGCCCCTCTGCGGTTTCTAAACCCATGCTGCCTGGTGTTATACTTCCCTTCCTCTTCCATGTACTTCACCAGTCTCTGATTGATAATTTTTTCCAATATTTTACCTGGTACTTCGAGGAGGGAAATTGGCCTGTAGTTTTCAGTTTGGGTTGGGGGTTTACCTGGCTTGGGGATTAATCTTATTGTGGCATTCTTGAAGTATGTGGGGAATAGTCCAGATGCAAGAGCTGCATTTAAGATACATGTGTATTGATGGAGTGCAATCACTGGTAGGTTGGATAATACTATCTTATTTATTTTGCTGTTGCCCGGTGCCTTGTTCTTGAAACCCATAATTGTTTTATGGACCTCCGTAATGGTTATGTGTTTCATAAGGTGGCAGTCATTGCGTATGTTGTTAAGGTCTATTGTTTGCGTTGGGAGTAGTGCTGCAGCTCTGTTATCGACTTGAGTTGTAATTTCCCTTTCATTAATTGGGCAAAAATTTGGGCATCTCCCCCTCCCTCCCGCCCCTCCTGCTCTCATCCCCCCTCCCTCCCTCCCCTCCTGCTCTCACCCCCCCTCCCTCCCTCCCCTCCTGCTCTCGCCCCCCCTCCCTCCCTCCCCTCCTGCTCTCACCCCCCCCCTTCCTCCCTCCCCTCCTGCTCTCACCCCACCTCCCTCCCTCCCCTCTTGCTCTCACCCCCCCCCCCCCCCTCCCTCCCTCCCCTCTTGCTCTCACCCCCCCTCCCTCCCTCCCCTTATGCTCTCATCCCCCCTCCCTCCCTCCCCTCTTGCTCTCACCCCCCTCCCCTCTTGCTCTCACCCCCCTCCCTCCCTCCCCTCTTGCTCTCATCCCCCCCTTCCCTCCCCTCTTGCTTTCAACCCCTCCCTCCCTCCCCTCTTGCTCTCACCCCCCCCTCCCTCCCTCCCCTCTTGCTCTCACCCCCCTCCCTCCCTCCCCTCTTGCTCTCACCCCCCCCCCTCCCTCCCCTCTTGCTCTCACCCCACCCTCCCCTCTTGCTCTCACCCCCCCCCTCCCCTATTGCTCTCACCCCCCCCCTCCCTCCCTGCCCTCTTGCTCTCACCCCCCCTCCCTCCCTCCCCTCTTGTTCTCACCCCACCCCCTCCCTCCCCTCTTGCTCTCACCCCACCCCCTCCCTCCCCTCTTGCTCTCACCCCACCCCCTCCCTCCCCTCTTGCTCTCACCCCCCTCCCTCCCTCCCCTCTTGCTCTCACCCCCCCTCCCTCCCCCCCCATCTTCCTCTCACCCCCCTCCCTCCCTCCCCTCTTGCTCTCACCCCCCTCCCTCCCTCCCCTCTGGCTCTCACCCCCCCTCCCTCCCTCCCCTCTTGCTCTCACCCCCCTCTCTGCCCTCTTGCTCTTACCCCCCTCCCTCCCTCCCCTCTGGCTCTCACCCCCCCCCCCTCCCTCCCTCCCCTCTTGCTCTCACCCCCCCCTCCCTCCCCTTTTGCTCTCCCCTCCCCTCCCTCCATCTCCTCTTGCTCTCACCCCCCTCCCTCCCCTCTTGCTCTCACCCCCCCCCTCCTTCCCTCCCTCCCCTCTTGCTCTCACCCCCCCTCCTTCCCCCCCTCTTGCTCTCACCCCCCCTCCCTCCCCCCCTCTTCCTCTCACCCCCCCCCCTCCTGCTCTCACCCCCCCCCCTCCCTCCCTCCCCTCTTGCTCTCACCCCCCCTCCCTCCCTCCCCTCTAGCTCTCACCCCCCCTCCCTCCCTCCCCTCCCTCCCTCCCCTCTTGCTCTCACCCCCCTCCCTCCCTCCCCTCTTGCTCTCACCCCCCCTCCCTCCCTCCCCTCTTGCTCTCACTCCCCCTCTCTGCCCTCTTGCTCTCACCCCCCCTCCCTCCCTCCCCTCTTGCTCTCACCCCCCCCCCTCCCTACCTCCCCTCTTGCTCTCACCCCCCCCCTCCCTCCCTCCCCTCTTGCTCTCACCCCCCCTCCCTCCCTCCCCTCTTGCTCTCACCCCCCTCCCTCCCCCCCTCTTGCTCTCACCCCCCCTCCCTCCCTCCCCTCTTGCTCTCACCCCCCTCCCTCCCCTCTTGCTCTCCCCTCCCCTCCCCTCCCTCCCTCTCCTCTTGCTCTCACCCCCTCCCTCCCCTCTTGCTCTCACCCCCCTCCCTCCCTCCCCTCTTGCTCTCATCCCCCCTCCCTCCCTCCCCTCTTGCTCTCACCCCCCTCCCTCCCTCCCCTCTTGCTCTCACCCCCCCCCCCCCCCTCCCTCCCCTCTTGCTCTCACCCCCCCTCCCTCCCTCCCCTCTTGCTCTCACCCCCCTCCCTCCCTCCCCTCTTGCTCTCACCCCCCCTCCCTCCCCTCTTGCTCTCACCCCCCCTCCCTCCCCTCTTGCTCTCATCCCCCCCTCCCCTCTTGCTCTCACCCCCCCTCCCTCCCTCCCCTCTTGCTCTCACCCCCCCCTCCCTCCCTCCCCTCTTGCTCTCACCCCCCTCCCTCCCTCCCCTCTTGCTCTCACCCCCCCTCCCCTCCCTCCCCTCTTGCTCTCACCCCCCCCCCTCCCTCCCTCCCCTCTTGCTCTCACCCCCCCTCCCTCCCTCCCCTCTTGCTCTCACCCCCCCTCCCTCCCTCCCCTCTTGCTCTCACCCCCCCTCCCTCCCTCCCCTCTTGCTCTCACCCCCCCTCCCTCCTTCCCCTCTTGCTCTCACCCCCCCTCCCTCCCTCCCCTCTTGCTCTCACCCCCCCTCCCTCCCTCCCCTCTTGCTCTCACCCCCCCCCCCTCCCTCCCTCCCCTCTTGCTCTCACCCCCCCCTCCCTCCCTCCCCTCTTGCTCTCACCCCCCCCTCCCTCCCTCCCCTCTTGCTCTCACCCCCCCCCCCCCATCCCTCCCTCCCCTCTTGCTCTCACCCCCCCCCCCCTCCCTCCCCTCTTGCTCTCACCCCCCCCCTCCCTCCCTCCCCTCTTGCTCTCACCCCCCTCCCTCCCTCCCCTCTTGCTCTCACCCCCCCCCCCCCCCTCCCTCCCCTCTTGCTCTCCACCCCCGTCCCTCCCTCCCCTCTTGCTCTCCACCCCCGTCCCTCCCTCCCTCCCCTCTTGCACTCACCCCCTCCCTCCCTCCCCTCATGCTCTCACCCTCCTTCCTCCCCCCCCCAAGCAAGCCCACCCCTAGTACCTGCCACAGTCTACAGTAACTTAGGGGAAAGGTGGTGTACCCCCATCCTTGAACATACAGGCTAGATATACAACTGCCCTCTTAGTATAACCAGGCTTCTCATGCTGGCTGATGATCAGGCTGGGGCCTGACAGCTGAGTGGACAGCGCTTCGGATTCGTAGTCCTGAGGTTCTGGGTTTGATCTCCGGTGGAGGTGGAGACAAATAGGCAAAATGTTTTTCACCCTGATGCTCCTGTTACCTAGCAGTAAATAGGTACCTTGGAGGTAGACAGCTGCTATGGGCTGCTTCCTGGGAGTGTGTAACTAAAAGGAAGCCTGGTTGAGGACCGGGCCGTGGGGACACTAAAGCCCCAAAATCATCTCAAGATAACCTCATGAAGAAGATTCCTGATCCATAGACATCCAACACGATGGTATTTGTATCCATAGAAAGGCTAAACTAATGATCAATACACTGCCTGTGCAGAATGCTCAGCAGCCATGTACAAAAGTTTAGTTGTGAAAAACCATTTTCTCACTGTGTTGCAGATACCCTTCCTTTAGGGGTCTCCTTGCTTAGGGGTGGTCCTCACCCTTCAGGTAAGCCAGTGGTCTGTTACACTCTTCCCTCAGGTTGGGAATGTGTTTGGCTGGTGGGACGCACTGGGATTTGTGTGTCCAGTTACTCGACTAACACATGGGCATGCCAACGTTTCTCCCTGGTTGCTCGTTCTTTGTGGTTTGGTCTTGCTGGGGGGGGGGGCTTGGGCTTTTTGTGTTTTTATTGTTTTCTTAAACTTTGCTCTCTTTATGCTTGGGGGTTCTTTCTTTTTGCCTTATTAGGCTAGCCTAGGGTGTGTGCAGGTGAACCCTCCTTGTTGCCTCCCTTTATCTGAATAAATGCCCCAGATCTGCCCCACTTGGGGTTTAGGAACATATTTGGGGAAGGATTGGTCACCTCAACCTTGGTTCAGTCCTTATCCCCTATTCCTACTGCGGTGGGACAATTTTACCCTTCTCATCCCCTGATTCCGGCTCTGTTTTCAGAATTGGGGTGGGATTTAGCTTAGGTGTGGATCCGGTTTACACTTTCTGATGTAGGTACTGTGGCAGCTGACCCTCTAGATCCCACCAGAGCTTCTGGGTTATTCCAGCCAACCCCTTCCTTTGAACCCCTCTTTTCCTTCCCAGGCACTGGGCATGGATTACAGCTTTGCCCTGGGGCCCTTTCTGCAGCTCCCAGAGCTCGGTAGGAAACACTTTGAAGCATCTGGGTTCCTTTTGATCCTCTGTCGGCTGTCTTGCCTTCTGCATTGGATCTTCTGTTGCAGGGTGTGAGGCTTACTTATCCCTCTTTCCTGTGTGAGTTTCAAGGTGCGGCTTCATTCCAGGGTTAATTTCAGTGTGCCTTTGGGTGGTTCCGACTCCTCCTTGCAGAGGGTTTCCTTTCTCCCTCATTCTCCCAGCAGAGGCTCAGGGGGGGGCCCCTTGGGGTTTCTCTCTTGTATGACCCGGTCTATGCTTTGGTTATGGATCCAGCCTCCTTTGCATTGGGTCTTCCTATTGTTGGTTGCATTACAAGGTTCGAGAGTCATCCTGCCTAGCAGACTGTTTGTTCCCTCTGGACTTAGCACAGGTTTTGATGTACATACATACTTGACTGACAGGTATCCACTGTGTTGCAGGTTTTCTGGGAGTTCTCTCTAGTCCCTCATTGTTTGCCTTTTTGTTCTGCCCTTTGCCATGACTTGGCTCTTGTGCAGCTGTGTGCTCAAGTTTCCCCAGATGTCCTGAGCTGATATTTGGGCTTGGGGGTTTTGGCATTCTAATGTGTTCTGGCGGCCTGGTATTTGGTTAATATCCCTGGTCCCAGTCAGTCGTGTGATGGCCTTGGGCTATGTATCCGGGCCTGGATTCTCATCTTTGTCCTAGTGCAGGCTACCTATTTCTCCCTGGTAAGTCACATTTTTGTTTTTTTTCTAGTTGATCAGCTTCAAGAATCTACTGGGGGCTCTCCCATAAAGCCAGTGTTGAATATAATGAAACACCTCTATTTTGGATGAACCCCGGTAGTTCGCTGACTCGTTCGCTCCCTCTACCAGGTTGGTCATTTGCTGTGCTGTTCATCAGCTCCAGAACTGGGAAAGATGAAAGCTGCTTAAGGAATCTGTGCTGTCTATCTTGAGATTATCTTGAGATGATTTCGGGGCTTTAGTGTCCCTGCGGCCTGGTCCTCGACCAGGCCTCCATCCCCAGGAAGCAGCCCCTGACAGCTGACTAACACCCAGGTACCTATTTTACTGCTAGGTAACAGGGGCATAGGGTGAACGAAACTCTGCCCATTGTTTCTCGCTGGTGCCTGGGATCGAACCCAGGACCACAGGATCACAAGTCCAGCGTGCTGTCCGCTCGGCCGACCGGCTCCGAAAGTCTGGAGGCTTTCTCAGTGTGGTGGCAAATTGTTACTTGTTCTCTGCACATCTGTGAGAGGGCCAGGTTCTGGCCTTGGTTCCTGGTAGGCCAAGCAATTCCACTTTCTGATGTGACCCATTTTCCTTGAGCAATCTAGGATAGCTTCAGGGAGTCACCGAGACTTATCAAGAAAGGGGCGTTTCATTGCATTCAATGCCAGTTTTATATTAACCTCTCGATGATTAAATTAACTTAATTTTATCTTATTAATAAACTTGTCATTTTCATTTCAATCATTGTGCAGATGACACTTTGTGATCATTCATGTGTGTTATTGTGATGTTTTAGTTCCATTTTTTGTCAAATATACTTCTATTGCTGTTTGGTTGTTGATGAACATTACGAGCCTTCTATAGAGTTTTGATCCTCAATATATACTGTTGCCATTTTTAATAACTTTTAAGCAATAAATGATTGTCATAATTGATAATGAATTTTACTTGGTACTTTTAGTTCTTATATTTTGTATTACTGTACTGTATACTAAATTGGTTGTTCCTACAGGATGAAGTGAACACAAGTCACGTAACTGTACTGGAACTGAAAGTGGAACTAAGTAAGTTTGTGGACCAACTCTCTGAATGCTCCTCAAAGTTGATGGAGCTGGAACAGAAGCTTCAGTCCTCACAACAAGACTTGAATCTTACCCGTTCAGCACTGGAAGAAGAGTCTAAAAGAAATACAGTTTTACAAGAGCAGCTCATAACAATATCTAGGTTGAATGAAAGCTTCAAATGTCAAATAGAAACTCAGAGTGAAGAACACAAACTGAAGGTAATTATATTATTGCAGCAAATCCAAAAGTGCACAAACTAATGAGACTACTGTATATTCCTGTGTCAGTACTGTTTGGTAATTATTAATGGTTGTTGTTGACTATCACCACCCTCCTGCCCACCACCACCACCACCCTCCTGCCCACCACCACCACCCTCCTGCCCACCACCATCACCACCCTCCTGCCCACCACCATCACCACCCTCCTGCCCACCACCATCACCACCCTCCTGCCCACCACCATCACCACCCTCCTGCCCACCACCATCACCACCATCACCACCCTCCTGCCCACCACCATCACCACCCTCCTGCCCACCACCATCACCACCCTCCTGCCCACCACCATCACCACCCTCCTGCCCACCACCATCACCACCCTCCTGCCCACCACCATCACCACCCTCCTGCCCACCACCATCACCACCCTCCTGCCCACCACCATCACCACCCTCCTGCCCACCACCATCACCACCCTCCTGCCCACCACCATCACCACCCTCCTGCCCACCACCATCACCACCCTCCTGCCCACCACCATCACCACCCTCCTGCCCACCACCATCACCACCCTCCTGCTCACCACCATCACCACCCTCCTGCCCACCACCACCACCCTCCTCCTCCTGCCCACCACCACCACCACCCTCCTCCTCCTGCCCACCACCACCCACCCTCCTCCTGCCCACCACCACCACCACCCTCCTCCTCCTGCCCACCACCACCACCACCACCCTCCTCCTGCCCACCACCACCACCACCCTCCTGCCCACCACCACCACCACCCTCCTGCCCACCACCACCACCACCCCTCCTGCCCACCACCACACACCCTCCTCCTCCTGCCCACCACCATCACCACCCTCCTCCTCCTGCCCACCACCATCACCACCCTCCTCCTCCTGCCCACCACCATCACCACCCTCCTCCTCCTGCCCACCACCATCACCACCCTCCTCCTCCTGCCCACCACCATCACCACCCTCCTGCCCACCACCATCACCACCCTCCTGCCCACCACCACCACCACCCTCCTGCCCACCACCATCGCCACCCTCCTGCCCACCACCCTCCTCCTCCTCCTCCTGCCCACCACCCTCCTCCTCCTCCTCCTGCCCACCACCCTCCTCCTCCTCCTCCTGCCCACCACCCTCCTCCTCCTCCTCCTGCCCACCACCCTCCTCCTCCTCCTCCTGCCCACCACCCTCCTCCTCCTCCTCCTGCCCACCACCATCACCATCACCACCCTCCTGCCCACCACCATCACCACCCTCCTCCTCCTCCCCACCACCATCACCACCCTCCTCCTCCTGCCCACCACCACCACCACCCTCCTCCTCCTGCCCACCACCACCCACCACCACCACCACCCTCCTCCTCCTGCCCACCACCACCCACCACCACCACCACCACCCTCCTCCTCCTGCCCACCACCACCCACCACCACCACCACCACCCTCCTCCTCCTGCCCACCACCACCCACCACCACCACCACCACCCTCCTGCCCACCACCACCCACCACCACCACCACCACCCTCCTCCTCCTGCCCACCACCACCACCCTCCTCCTCCTGCCCACCACCACCCACTACCACCACCACCCTCCTCCTCCTAGCTGACATATACCTACATTATCATCATACCAGTCATTAATTACACCATTTCCTCCCCTCCCCCCTAACATGCAATAATACCTACATACTAATAGTATATTTATGGTTCTAGAACTTCCTTTAGAATATTATTGAGAGGCTAGCTTTGTTCCCATCCATCTTTTACCCATAAATGTTTCAATTCTTAACTTTATTATTACAGCTATAGATAAAAAAAATTATAGATAAAATGAAGAATTGTTAAATGTCAAAACAAAAAAAATACCTTTCATAACCTTGCATTTTGTGTGTACATCGATGGTGGTCTTGTTGGCTGTTGTCCTACAGCCAACAACACCTACATCTCAGCTTTTAGTCAAGAAGGTGCAATTTGTTGTTATCCAAGTATTGTACTGTATAGTATAAATTACTAGCCACCATATCATGGATAACAACATTTCAGTCACTTGGATCATTGTGGCCTTGAACTGCGGACCACAAAAGCAAGAGCCTACAGTCCTACCAAATATATGACGAGCACCGACAATAAGGAAAGACCCGAGCAAGACCCAATTGGTATCTAACTGGAACTTTAGCCCTGCCTTGGAGTGCCACTTGAGCACCGAGGTTAGGTGATCCATGTCCTAGTCACACAAATATGACTAGGACAGGGATTATCTAACACCTTCATGCTCAAGTGACACCCTAGTGAAGGTCCTCAAGTTGTAGTTGTGTGTCTCGGGGATCTTTCTCTATTGTGAGTGCTCATGGCTTAGTTTGTAGGACTTTTGTGGTGTGATGTGTGAAGCTCAGATGGTCCAAGGAAGTTAACTGTACAATATACTTGACTGCCACTTTTTGTTCTTTACTGATGCATGACTTGTATTTTCTAGGTGCAGGAGTTAAATACAAACATAATGGCACTGATCTGTGAAAGGGACTTGTTAACTAACGACAAGGCTTCACTTGTGCAAGAAATGCAAAATCTTAAAACTAATTATAAAAATGCCAAACTGCAGTTTGACAAAGATTTTGCAGAACTTGCAACTGAGAAAGCCAATTTATACAGTCAAATTGAAATAAAGTCTGAAGCACTCTGTCACCTGCAAACAGAAATGGAAAGTAAACTTGAATCTTTGAATAAAGAAAAAGTTAATTTGGAAGAGGAAATTGCAATGAAAGCTGCCAACTATACAAGGCTGGAAAGTGAACTAAAAGTCCAGGTGGAGCAGTTAACCTCAGACAAGGTAGCACTTAGTGAAGATATCCTTAAAAAGGAATTGACATGTACTAATCTTAAACAAGAAATGGATAGGAATAATAATCTCTTGCTTGAGCTAAAGGAGAGTTTCAAGAAGGAAATGGAAGCCAAGAATGAAACATATTTAACATTGCAGAATGAGAAGGAGAGAGAGTTGGAGATCCATGCAAAGAAAATAACATCTCTGAATGAAATAATTAAGAACAAAGAATGTGATTACAGTGAATTAAAAAGAGAGATGAATAAAACCATTAACGACTTACATCAGTCCCAGTCGGTCATGTGCAGTGAATTCAAGGAACGTGAAGAATCTTTTGTCGTCTTAAAGCATAAACTGGAGGAGGATTTGGCAACGTCTGCTGAAGTAGAGAAAAAGCTAAGCAATATAGTCAGCCAAAATGAGCGTTCTTATGCCTTATTACAGCTGAAAATGCAGGAAGCTGAAGAAACTTTCACACATGAAAAGAGCACCTTGATGAATGATATTCAAACAAAGGAAGATAACTTAGCAAAGTTAAAGGAGGAGTATAAATTAACAACAGAATCCCTTGAATGCCAAAACTCTACATTGTCTGAAGCTATTTCAGTCAAGGAAGCAGCACTAGCATCTTCACAAGAAATGATAAACAAGTTGCAAGATGAAATGACTGCAAAGAATGATGATTACTGCATTGTTCAGCAGCAGCTTGCAGTGATTACAGCAGCTTTAAAAGATGAGAAGTGCACATTGCTTCAGGAGATACAGGCGAAGGAGTCCGCTTACGTTTCCTTGCGGCAAGAACTTGAAAAAAAATTAGATGATCTTTCTAAAGAAGAGATAGCTTTGAAAACCCTGCTCCAAGAAAAAGAGGAGGAACTTGGTTCTTTGCGCAAAGAGTTCTCTGAATCTATTGAGAAGTCTCGCTCAGAAAAGGCAGCCATGGCTGAAGAACTCTCTTCCAAGACTGAATACCTAAATAATCTTTTATCTGAAAAAGATCAAATTATTCGAAGGCTTGCAGAAGAAAAAGAACAAAGTAAAAATAGTTTTGAAAGTAAAATAGCAGAGTTAAATGAAGTTTTTAGCAAAAAATGTGAACACGTACAAGTTGTAGAACAAGATATAATTACTACTAAGCTAAGTTCGGAAGAGAAGGAAACGAGACTTCGTGAGGAGCTGAGTATTGTGAAATTAGCAATGGAAGATCTTCAGAGGGAAAAAGATGAGCAAGCACAAAGTAATGAAAATGCTCTCTCTGATCTAAAGTCATGTTTAGGGGAAAAAATAGATTCTTTTGTGAGGATAAAGGAAGAACATGAGCGAAGCTTGCAGAACCACAAGACTCAAACAATTGAAATGCAAGGAATAATTTCAGAACTACAGTCAGCTTTAGCAGTGAAAGAGGAGGAGTTCAAAAGCAAACTTGCCGTACTGAGAGAGCAAGTAAGTATGGAAGCTTTTGTCATTGTTATTATGTTTACTGTAGGTGAACTGACATCATTGATCAATATTTAATAGTTGCATATACCAAATAGTATTGTAGACACTGACACATACAGAATGTCTTTCTTAAATTTCTTTCTTTTCCATATTGATGTTGTCTAATTCTTAATCTCTCTGCATCCCTCTCATATCCTAACTGGCAGCTCACTTACCAGAGTTACTTTCCAACTTGGTGTTCTCGGTAGTTCCTCGATGCCCTTTAGTTAACCTAAGGGCAGTCTTTTGCCGTTTTCAAACTTTTCCAAATGTTTGGCAACACTTAACACTACTGTAGTTGTAAATGATGTCAATTCTTCCTAGTCTTACCTGTGTGTGTTGTTTACAGGTAGGTGGGGAGGGAGGGAGGGATCTTGAGGTTATCTTGAGATGATTTCAGGGCTTTAGTGTCCCCGCGGCCCGGTCCTCGACCAGGCCTTCACCCCCAGGAAGCAGCCCGTGACAGCTGACTAACACTCAGGTACCTATTTTACTGCTAGGTAACAGGGGCATAGGGATAAAGAAACTCTGCCCTTTGTTTCTCGCCGACACCCGGGATCGAACCCGGGACCACAGGATCACAAGTCCAGTGTGCTGTCCGCTCGGCCGACCGGCTCCCTAAGTAGGTCTTGGAACCTTTCTCTCTACCTTTTGAAATATTATGTAACCTCTCAATCTCTCAAAACTGCCCCGTGTTCTTTTAAAGCTGTAGATTAAATTGGCCTGGACTCACTCTTCCTCAAGTTTGTTTCACTTAACCACTATACATAGTGGCTAATATACATATATAGTGGTCCCTATACATGTCGGAGTCTTTCATTTCATCAATATTGCTTATATTTGTCTTTACCAGTTTTTCTTTTGCTTATACATTTACTGGGAACAGTTTTCTTTCATGTAGTACCTTGTGCATTGTGACCATGTCTCTGGATGTAGTTCTCTTCCGCTTTTGTTGCTTTAATTCTTTGAGTCTGTTCTCATAGCTCAGGTTAAATATTTCTGGGGGTTAAGTCTTGTGCAAAATCTTGTAAATCTTTTAAAATACTTTGGTTTCAAGAGAGGTGGATTTTACTTTGGTTTCAAGAGAGGTGGATTCAATAATGTTTCATAATCCTTGGTTAACACTACCTTTTCTCACCTCTAATGCTTAACATAGTTAAGTTCCGATGTCTTACTACCACATTGTGGTCATTAATCATATTTTAACTCTAATGTACTAGATGGAAAGTGTGGAAGCAGATAAGATTATTAATGAAGCTAAGGTAGCAGACATAACTACTTCGGTAAATAGAATGGAGGAAGAGCACAGAACTTCCCTTAACCATCTTAAGAAAGAGGCTGAACAGCAGCAGATGAAGTTTGATGCTGATGTTTTACTTCTCGGTGATAAAGTAGGTTGTGTGTTTAGGTATATTACTTAAATGTTTACACTAGCAACTTGACATTAATTTACAGTATTGTTTAATTGGTTCTAAAACTTGTTCCTAAAGTCTGACAAAGAAATTTGAATTTGATGGATATGGATTATATTTGTCCTTTAAATTATCAAATAATTTTAGGTACAGTGGATCTTTGTGTGATGAATAAAGTTTTTTTGTTTTTAGACATACAGCAGTTGTAATTTAGAAACCAAAATATTTTTCTTCAAATCTCATAATCATGTTTGTGTTTTATTGAGAAATGTGCCTGGTTTTGAGTAGATGGGATATTTGCCTTGTTTAGCTGCATAGAAAAATATCATTAACTCTAAGAGATGAATCATTAACTTGCTCACATGTTAAAAGTAAGTAAGTTCCCTTTGTTATAGTATTTGATAAAATAATCACTAGTAATGATTCATATAAATTCTTGTAGGTGTCATCACTTGAACGTGAGAAGGCGGCGGCAGAGAACGAGATGCAGGAAAAGAATGATGTAATGGAAGCTTTGACTCTTGAATTTAATACAAAAATTAAGGCTCTTGAGATGGTGGTGAGTGTCAAAGCTGAAGCTATAGAAGCCCTTGAGCGAGAAGCAACTTCATTGAATGCTATGGTTAAAGCTCAGGAAGATGCCTTAAATGCATTACATCAACAAGTGGAAGGAACTTTACAAACTCATAGCACTGAGACAGCTAATTTAATGAGAGAGATTGCAGAGAGGGAAGCTTCATATACTTGCCTTCAGAATGAGCTGCAGAATCGTGTGGCAGCTCTAACGGAGGAGAAGGTCAGTCTCGGCAAGATGATGCAGGAAAACGAAGACGTTGTTTCAAATCGGCAGCAGCAAATAAATGATCTCCTTGCACAAGTTAACGAGCAGAAACAAGTGTTATGCAGTGAGATGAATGAGAAGGAAAAGGCCTTTTTAAGTTTGAGGCATGAAATGGAGTCTTCAATGGAAGTAATTAAAAACAGAAATAACAAAGAGTTACAAGAAAAGCAAGAACTTATTTGTAATCTTCAGAAAGAGAAAGAGAGAGATTTGAAAGTGTATGTTGAAGAGAAAACTGCCATGAATGCCATAATTAAAGAAAAGGAAGAAGTAATAACATCATTGAAATTAGAGCTGGAAGATATTAAAAATGCTTTTATGTCCGAGAAAGAATCTCTCTCAAATGAATTGAATGCTCATCAAGAAAGTTTAACTTCCCTGAAGGATAAGCACGAGAAAGCACAAGCAAGTTCTGCTGCTGAAACTAATACTCTCTCTCTCCACGTGTTAGAAAAGGACAGGAAAATCACTGAACTCAGCGAGGAGTTAAAGAATATGCAGGAGATACAAGCCATAAGAATAAAGCAGCTTGAGGTGGACTTTGAGAAAGTGACCTCATATTTAGAAGCTGAACAGGGATTGAACCTTGACCTGAAATCCAAGATTCAGTCTCTACAGGAAGAAATTAAAAATAAAGATGCTGAATACAAGAGAGACCTGACATGCACTCAACAAGAGATATCAACGCTGAAAGATTGCATTGAGGAAAGGAAGCGGTTGCATGAAGAAGTTGTACAGAAGACTGAAGAGGGCACTCGGGAGAATAAGAGTTTAATATTCCAACTTCAAACCACTATTAATGAGAAGAATGAAATAATCAAATCATTAAAAGAAAAAATTTTGGAGCTAGAGGAAAAGCACTCAAATGCTATACAAGAATTAAATAATGCGATTGCTGAAAAAACATCAAATCTGAATGCCATAAAAATGGAATTAAGTGAATTACAGAAGACAAATGCTCAAAAACAGGACAAGACAGATGAGCTGAATAAGTTTAAAAATGATCTGGCTATGATTAACAAGGAAATACAAGAACGAGAGAAGGTCAGTGAAGCGGCACGCACAGCTTCAGTGAATAAGGTTTGTGTTACTGTCTAATGACATTCTCTGTTGGTTAAAATATTTAATTATAAAGTAGAGAGCTCTTTTGGATATAAGTGTGCAAGTGCACACAGCAGGGAGATGGGTGGAGAGGTAAATGGGGAATGTTAAAGATAGGCTTAGGAAAGGTTAAATGCTGTAGAGAACTTTTAGCAGTAGTTATGTGGACATATTGGTCTTTGATGATGTGAGACGTGTAGAAGGTAATACTCCAGCTAATACACCTGCAAAATATGTACATCTGTGTGGAAGTGTAAATGTGGTAAAGCTACAGGTGTTCGAGTAATGTGTGTACACAAATGTGGTAAGGCTACAGGTGTTCGAGTAATGTGTGTACACAAATGTGGTAAAGCTACAGGTGTTCGAGTAATGTGTGTACACAAATGTGGTAAGGCTACAGGTGTTCGAGTAATGTGTGTACACAAATGTGGTAAGGCTACAGGTGTTAGGGTAATGAGTGTTCACAAATGAGTAAATATGTAATTGTGAAAATTAGTGGAGTGAGTGTGGAGAAATTTCCAGTGGGGAGGAGTGCTAGAGGATTTAAGGATGGTGTGCATGTACCAAAATATAAAATGAAAAAAATAATACGGTAAGAATTAGACGTATTGAATTCCAAAGTTTGTTATGCAATATGTATGGCAGGATAGTAATTAAAGAGAGTATAGTGGCACCCCAAAAAATCTGGACCTCAACATGATGGATTTTACACAAATCCCGACAAAATTCACCATTTTTTTTTTTTCCATAATCTTCCTTTTTTGTTTATAAATATTTTTTTAAATAATGCTTTCATGTTTAAGAAATATTTTGCTGAACTTGTAATGTACTGTAAGTTGCCCAAGAGTGTTTGTGACAATTTTTTGGGCGAGTTCATAGCCCTGCTGAAATGAGCTAGTGTATACGTACTGCCTGTGTCCATCAGTCCCTCCAACCACAAAATCCAATTAGAAAAACTCCTTAGGAACAATAGGGGACCTTTGACAAGCTGTTGGCTTCCTATCCTTGTCTAATCACTAGAGCTGGTGGCACTTAACACTATCGCTCTCCCCACGAGCGCACCGCAGACTTTGACGTCATGGAGCCAATTGTGCGGGCGAGCGAACGGCGATGCCTAAATGTGTGTACTCGTTTCAGTTTTCTCACCTTAATTCTCGTGCTACGTCGTTCGTTCCGGTATCATTGTATTTGCAATAAAATTCCCTGCAGATGTATATGCATATAATGTCCAAAAGCCTGGCGAGACTCCCCACTGCAAAGCCTAAAGTCGGAAAAGTTGCCTGTGAGTGCACAAAATCAGTAAAATGTTTATACTCGTTTCACTTTTCTCACCATAATTCTCGTGCTACGTCGCTTGTTTTGGTATCATTGTGTTCACAAATGAATTCCCTACAGGTGTATATGAATAAAATGTACAAAAGCCTGGCATGCCTCCCTGCAGGAAAGCCCAAAGTTACCCGTAAACGAGCACCAATTTGTACACTGCCACCTAATGTGTATACTCGTTCAGTTTGATAACATCAATTTTCATGTCACATCTTTCATTTTGGCATCAAATTGTTCGCGACATAAAGGTGCGCATTTTAAAACTACAGTAGTCCCAACATAATAGCACAATAAATAGAATTTTAACAAATATTTTAAAAGTTTGACCAAAAATGTATTTATAATCATATAAGTATTCGGACATAAAGTTTCATGTTACATCTTTCATTTTGGTATCAAATTGTGTGCATTCTAAAGGCGCTTATTTTGATACTATCTCGAGGTCGATTGGATAAAAAATTAATTTTATACAAATATTTTTGTAGTGGACGCAAGTCCGGTCCAAAGCTAGGATTCAGGAGAAAAATAATGGACGAGAGTCCGGTCCAAAGTGACCGATAGTGTTAAGTAAATCCAGGTAAATCCCTCCTATCCTCCTATACCCTTTCCTATCCATCTCCCCTTTTTTCTCTATCTGTGCTTGCTGGCCCAGTAACAATAAATATATATCGTATCAACTTCTCTCCCAACAACTCCTACATGCTCAATACTGTTCTGTTGATAATTCCTTCCGATGACTTTTATGTAACCAATAACTCCGATCCGCCTTCCTGGTAACTCCCAAAATAGCTCCTGTTCGCCCAATTGCTTTCACCTCCCCAATAGCTCCCACTGACCTGCCGGCTTGATAACACTTCTACCCTCCTGTTAACTCCCATCCACCTTTCGTCATCCTGCTTGTCTGCCCAGTTATTCCTGATAGATTCCTCACTCCTGCCTGATTCCTAGATTCTTCCCTCAAGCCCACCCACTCCATTGCTCACGTCTTCCAGATCCTGCACTCATTCCCACTTGATCCCACTGTGAAATATTAATTTTCAATGGTAACAATTGCATGCAGTGCCACCAATTTGCATATGGTGGACTGCTCAGCAATGGCCATCAATGACAAGGCTAATTACGAGAGCAGCCACATGTGACTGGAACACAGCAAGTCGAGTGAGGCATTCTTTGTGGGTATTCCTTTCCCAGACGTGTGTACCAAATCGTGATCGACTGGCTAGTTAATATCTCTCCAGTGCACTGAGAAATTTAAAGAATTTGTTCTACATCAGTTGATCAGTTTTACTGCAATTTTAGCTTTTAGGCTTTTGGTTTAATAAAAATGCATGTGTAAATGTTAACGATGTTTATTCTGTAAACTAACTAATGCATTGGATGCTTTGCTTTACTTGAAATTGGTGTCTGCAAGACTAATTTTACATCAGAGGGATATGAAACATTCAACTGATTGATTTTGCATCCACTGAGGAACAAAACCTAACACTTAACTTGATCACCAATCATAAATTCTGTTCCTATATTTCACTGGAGTTACACAGGAGTTCCAAACAGAATGATTGAGCAAAATGCAGTAATGGCATGTCCAATGAAATCATCACAATATATATAGTGTTCATAAAATGAACATACAAATGACTTGTCAATGTGACAACATAACATGAGCTGTATCTAAATGTGTGGCATGCATAAATTGTGTACACAAATAGCCGGTGTGCGATGTGGTACGACACGGCTAATCACATAGGTACCAACTAGTCTTACTTAATCTCGTACTTCACACCTGTTCCGGATGTTGAAAGGATGAGGATCTTCATGCCGATCACTAAGATCAACACGCAAATAGACATTTAACAACAGGTGTAGAGAATGTACTTGCAGTGTGGCCAGCCTCAACACGCTCATATCAGTTATTCGTACAGACTGCTCCAATGATGAGCTGCATGGCTAAACACACACACAAATGTTATGTTGGCCAATGATGCAAAAATTATGAGAAAAATCAAGGCAGATGAACATAGACAGAGACTACAGGATGACCTGGACAAACTGGAGGAATGGTCTAGAAAATGGCTACTAAAGTTTAATTCGGGAAAAGTGTAAAGTAATGAAATTAGGCGAAAGGAGCAGGAAGCTGAACACAAGGTACCATCTGGGAGGTGAAATCCTGCAAGTCAAATAGGGAAAGATCTGGGGGTTGATATCAAACCGAACCTGTCCCCAAAGCCCACATCAAAAGGATATCAGCGGCATATGGTAGATTGGCCAATTATAAGAACTGCCTTGAGAAACTTGTGTAAGGAATTGTTTAGGACTCTGTATACCACTTATGTCAGACCAATTCTGGAGTATGCAGCTCCAGCCTGGAGTCAATACCTAGTCAAAAACAAGACAAAGTTAGAGAAGATTTAGAGGTATGCCACCAGACTATTCCCAGAACTAAGAGGTGTGAACTACGAGGAAAGGCTATTAGAGCTAAACCTCATGTCCCTAGAAGACAGAAGAGTAAGTGGAGACATGATAACCACCTACAAAATTCTAGGGAGAATTGACAGGGTGGTCAAAGACAAACATGTGTGGAACATGACCAAGGGGTAACAGATGAAAACTTGGTACCCAAATGAGCCACAGAGACATTAGAATTTGTTTTCAGTGTCAGAGTAGTTAAATGAAATGCATTAGGCAGTGATGTGGTAGAGGCAGAGTCCATACACAGTTTCAAATGTAGGTGTGATAGAGCCTAATAGGCTCCAGAATCTGTTCACCAGTTGATTGACAGTCAAGAGGCATGACCAAAGAGCCAAATCTCAACCCCTGCAAGCCACAACTGGATGAGTACAAACAAACATAGCGTAGCTTGGGCATGGACATAGACATAGTAGATTGGCAGTCTTCTCTGTATCTCAAGCACTACTGCATGTGGTTGAACATGCAAGATTTTGTGGATGTGGTGCTGGATCTTTTACAAGAATGGCATGTGGGTTACAGGTGGAAAGCACAATGGACTGCACATGAGTAGTGTGAAGTTAACGTGAGAGAATGATGTCACATGGTAACAAGTGGAGCAAGCATGGTGGCCTAGGTGAGTGCAGTGTCAGCTGGCTGACAACACGTGTGGGCATGTGGCAGAGTATGCGAGTAGTTCACATGGCATGCACAAAGCAGTGGGGGAAAGTTTCACTCTGACAGTTTGAGAGATCATACGCCAAGAATCGTGGGGCAACGCTCCTTTCGCTTTTCACAGTTCAATGGAAACCTTTCCCATTAATTCACTATTCTGATGACTTAGATGAAACATGATTTCATTGATAATCAGTCTGTTGCTAATGAGGTGGTCATGTGGTTCGTCTCCTGGTTTTAGTAACTCATGAGCAGCTAATTAAAAAATGTCAGTCGTGATTCCGAAACAATAGCGCGATTATATTGAATATAGGCACTGTTTTAACTTGACGTTGGAGAATGTCACGATCATTACTAGTTGGATCTCGCACATCAGGCTTAGACAAACTCTGGAGGGGATTAGGGGGGGGGGGAATAATTTTGCAGTCTTCCTCGAGGCCACAGAAGCATCCCTGGGGAAGAAACTGGTAAGGTCTATGAATGGACTTATGGGACATAGGCTCTAATACTTAGCACAGTCACGTGGGCTTATA